GAGGTGGATGAGTCGATGAGGAGAAGGGGGCAGGATGATCATGCAGCAGGAGTAGCCGACATAAAAAATAGGCAGCAGGATTTGCTCGCACGAAGGGAGGCACCAGGAACATGCAGCGGGAGGAGCATAGTGCGGAGGGACAGGAGGAACAATGAACGAGGAGGAGGAGGAACGGTAAAAGGGCAGAGTGAGGAGCCAGGAGAAGGAACACTGGGGCCCAGGGTGATGAGGACAAAGAAGAGGGATGAAGGGAGATTGCGCATGTGGTGTTTACAAATGCAAGACGAGGGGAGGATGATCATGACTGGGAGGATGAGGATGAATCAGATGATGATCGTGATGCTCAGGAGGACGATTGTTTCGAATGTGTTTTCCGAACTATTCTTCCAACGCTGCACACATCCTCGAATGAGCAGCTGGGCTTATCATGTTGCTTCGAAACTGCTTGTTTGAATGTTACAATGAAGAGTGGCACAACTGCTAGTAGATCGCTTCCAGTGCGCCTCCAGATGGTTCTTTGTGCGGCTACCTTTTCCTGGGCGGGAACGCAGGCCCTAAGGTTTGCCAGGAATTCTAGAGCTGAGGAAGGAAACCTTGCTTTCAATTACAGGGTCCGAGAGGGACGTAGTGAGACCCATCCGGCCGCGCGCCGAGCCACACAAGAACCCAACGGGCCGCACAAAATATCAATGGGCCGCAGAAAAAAAACAGTGGCCCCCCTCCTTCCCGTCCTCCCCTACTCTTCCTCTCTCCCTCTCCTTGGGCTGGCGCCGGCGTCGGCGGCGGCTGGCGGCGGCGTCGGGGAGCGTTGATGAAGACGACGGCTTCCTGTTCTGGGCCGGCGCCGGCGCATGCGGCGGCTGGCGGCGGCGGCGGCGGGGAGCGTCGACGAGGACGACGGCGACGACGATGACGACGACGACGCTCCAACACCGTGCCTTGGTTTTGGGTCAAGGTCCTTACTTACGCAGGCCGAAAGATTTTCCTCTTGACCCCCACATGTCGGAAGGGACGCGCCGTTCAGGTGAGCGGATACATGTAGCGGTCGCTTCGAGGTGGGGTAGATATGTTATGGGTGGAGATGCGGGAGTTGGCCTCCGTTCTCCTCCCACCTCCTCTTCCCTCTTCCCTCATCCTTCCCCTCTTCCTCCCGCCTCTTCTTCGCTCTTCCCTCATCCTTCCCCTCTTCATCCTGGGAAGACCCCCTCCCCCGTATAATCATAGCATTGGTCTGCAGATCCACAGCTCCGTGGATAGCTTGATGCTTCACTTGCGGTGCTCCGCGGATCCAATTTCCCCTGGGTCCCGGATGTTAATTCTTTGTGTATATATATATATATATATATTATATATATATATATATATATATATATATATATATATATTCCCAGAAAATAAATGGACCCATGTTTTTTTGTTTTTTTTTGTTTTTTTTCCACACAGGAAATTGGATTCGCGCAACACAGAAATAGGATCCACGAAACTCCCACACCCGAAAAAAAGGATCCAATTTGATCCATTGCTGTGTTTGTATTTTTAGTCCAAGAGGAAAAATATCTGCCTGGGGATGTATTGCTGCCTCTTGGGGTCTCATCGGAGGGGCCTCGGGGACCTCGGAAGGGCATTTGTGAAACCTCCTGGGCGCCTCTTGGGCGTCTCTTGGGGCCCCGCTGAGGTGGTGGTGGTGATGGTGGGCTGTGGTGGTGGTGGTGGTGGTGGTGTGGCTGTGGTGGTTTGTGGTGGTTGTGTGGTGGTTGGTGGTGGTGGTGGTGGATGTTGTGGTGGTGGTGGTTGTGGTGGCAGGTTGTGGTGGTGGTGCTGGCGGTGGAGGTGGTGTGGTGTGGTGGTTTCCGGTGGTGGTGGTGGTAGTTGTAGGTTGTGGTGGGTTGTGGTGGCGGTGGTGGTGGATGTGGTGGTGTGGTGGTTTGTCGTGGCGGCTGTGGTGGTGGTAGTGGTAGTGGTAGTGGTCGTGGTTGTGGTGGTGGTGGTGGTGGTGGTGTGGTGGTGTAGTGGTTTGTTGTGGTGGTCGAGGTTGTGCTGGTGGGTGGTGGTGGTGGTGGTGGTTGTGGTGGTTTGTGGTGGTTGTGGTGGTGGGTTGTGGTGGTGGTGCTGGTGGTGGCGCTGGTGGTGGTGGTGGTGGTTGTGGTGTGGTGGTTTTTGCTGATGGTGGTGGTGGCGGTGGTGGTGGTGGTGTTTGGTTATGGAGGTGGTGGCGCTGGTGGTGGTGGTGGGGGTGGCGGTGGTGGTGGTGGTGTGGTGCTTTGTGGTGGTGGTGGTCGTGGTGGTGGTGGTGGTAGTTTGCTCTGGTGGTGGTGGTGTTGCGTTGGTTCTGGTGGTGGTGGTGCTGGTGTGATGGTTCGTGGTGTTGGTAGTGGTGTGGTGGCTTATAATGGTGGTGGTTGTGGTGGTTGTGGTGGGTTGTGCTGCTGGTAGTGGTGCTGGTGGTGGTGGTTGTTGCGGTGCTGGTGGTGGTGGTGTGGTAGATTGTAGTTAGTGGTGGTGGTAGGGGAGGTGGGTTGATGTGGTGGTGGTGGTGGTGGTGGCCGTGTTGGTGGTGGTTGTGCGGTGGTTGAGTGGTGATTTGTGGTGGTGGGTTGTGGTGGTGGTGGTGGTACTGGTAGTGGCGGTGGTGGTGGTGATGCTGTGGTGGTTTGTGGTGACGGCTGTGGTGGTGGTGGTGATGGGCTGTGGTGTTGGTGGTGGAGGTGCTGGTGCTGCTGCTGGTGTTGGTGCTGGTGGTGGTGGTGGGTGGTGGTGGTGGTGGTTGTGGTGATGTTGTAGTTTGTTGTGGTGGTGGTGGTGGTGGTGGATTGTGGTGGTGGTGGTGGTGGCGGTGGTGGTGCTGGTGGTAGTGGTAGTGGTGGTGGTGGTGGTGGTGGGTTGTGGTGGTTGTCGTGGTGGTGGCATTTTTGGTCGTGGTGCTGGTGGTTTGTTGTGGTAGTGGTGGTTGTGGTGGTGGTGGTTTGTGGTGGTTGTAGTGGTTGTTGTGGTGGCGGTGATGGTTGTGGTGGTGTGGTGGTTTGTGGTGGTTGTGGTGGTGTGGCCTTCGGGTCTTCGCGCCACCGTGTTTTGGCTTTGGGTCAGAGTTCTAATGGGTGCCTCTTGAAGGCTCGTCAGAAGGGTCTCGGGGGCGTCTGCGGAGCATTTGTGCAGCCTCCTGGACATTCCTAAGGGCCTCTCGGTGGCTTTTGGGGGGCGAGGGCTCGGCATGGCGATTCGTGTCTCCCCTCTGCGGTCTCTGGGCCCTCTCTGATCATCGTCGCTGCGTCCCCGCCGTCGGCGCTGCTGGCCGGCGCCAGCGCTGGCGTCGAGGCCGGCACCGGGGGAGGGGGGGGGGTTTGGACCCCCCCCGCCCCCCCCGTGGACCCTCTCTGGTCATCATCGCTGCGTCCCCGCCGTCGGCGTTGCTGGCCGCCGTTGGTGCCGGCGCCGGCGCTGGGGGGGGGGGCTTTGGACCCCCCCTTTGAGCGCTCTCTGGTCATCGTCGCTGCGTCCCCGCCTTCGCGCTGCGAGCCGCCGCCAGCCCCGCCGAATGTTTTTTTTGGGCCCCCCCCTGCGTTTCGGAACGCGCCGCCGAGTGTTCCCAAGGCAAGCGCCCATGAAACGCGCTCTCTCGTATGTATGTAAGTATGTATGCATGCATGCATGCATACATGCATGCATGTATGTATGGATGGATGCGTTCATGCATATATATGCATAGATGTATACATGTATGTATGTCCGTGTGTGTGTGGCTGTATGTATGTATGTACGTATGCATGCAGGTATGTATGCATGTATGTATGTATCGATGTCTGTAGGTATGCATGTATTTGTGTGCATGTATGCATGCATGCATGCAAGTATGTATCTTTGTATGGATGGAGGAATGGGTTGATTTGTGTATGTAGGTGTGTATATGTGTATATGTGTGTATGTGTGTATGTGTGTATGTGTGCACGTATACATGTATGTGTGCATGTATGTATGTCGGAGGTTGGGGGGGTGAGATCGCAGTGCGACGGAAACCCCCGTGTCCCGTGGTGTCCGCCGTTGCTAGGGCGAAGTCAAGACAAATGATTTTTCCCCGCCCGCCCGTCCAGCGGTGGCTCGCGGTGTCCCGCGGTGTCCCGTGGTGTCCCGTGGTGTCCCGTGGTGTCTCGTGGTGTCCCGTTGAGTGAGATCGATAGTGAGATCGATAGTGAGATCGATCGTGAGATCGATAGAGAGATCGATAGAGAGATCGATGTGGTGCCCCAAGGTGTCCCGTGGTGTCCCAAAAAGTGAGATCGATAGTGAGAGCGATCGTGAGATCGACTGGTGTCCCGTGGTGTCCCGTGGTGTCCCGTTGAGTGAGATCGATAATGAGATCGATACTGAGATCGGTACTGAGATCGATGTGGTGCCCCGAGGTGTCCCGTGATACCCCGTGGTGTCCCAAAAAGTGAGATCGATAGTGAGATCGATAGTGCGACCGATGGTGAGATCGACAGGTGTCCCGTGGTGTCCCGTGGTGTCCCGTGGTGTCCCGTGGTGTCCCGTGGTGTCCCGTTGAGTGAGATCAGTAGTGAGATCGATTGAGTCAGATATTGGTTTCCCCCCCTCTCTCCCCCCCACACATCCTCCTTGTCACCCGAAGGGTGGCCGTATCGGTATAAGCGGATGTATGTATGTGTGTGTGTGTGTGTGTGTGTGCGCATGCGCGCATGCATGAATGGAAGGATGTAGGTATGTACGTACGTACGCATGTGTGTCTGTCTGTTTGTTTGTCTGTCTGTCTGTCTGTCTGTCTGTCTGTCTGTCTGTCTGTCTGTCTGTCTGTCTGTCTGTCTGTCTCTGTCTGTCTGTGTGTCAGTCTGTTTGTGTCTGTCTGTCTGTATGTATGTATGTCTACATACTTGTGGTTTCCTGGGCCCCTTTCTCGCTCCCCCCGCGGGCCCGCCGCCGGAAATTGCATCGTCCGGATTCCCCGGGGGGTGGCGCGCTCCCGGCGGCGCCGTCGGCGGCGCGGTCGCGAGGAGGTGCTCTACGAGCGGCTCCTCGCGGCGCCGTCGCGCTGCTCCGCGGAGGCGCCAGAGGACCGGCAGCGGCCGTGTTCGTCGTCGTCGTCGTCGTTGTCGTCGCCGCCGCCGCCGACGCTGCCGCCGCCGTCCTCGTCGTCGTCGTCGTCGTCTTCGTCCTCGTCGTCGTCGTCGTCGCCGCCGCCGCCGCCGCCGCCGCCGTCTGCGCGGCCGTGGTCGTCGTGTGGTCATCGTCGTCGTCGTCGTGGCCGTCGCCGCCGCTGCTGCCGCCGCCGCCGTCGTCGTCGTCGTCGTCGTCGTCGTCGTCGTCGTCGTCGTCGTCGTCGTCGTCGTCGTCGTCGTTGTCGTCGTGCCCGTCGGGTCGTTGTCGGCGGCGGCGGCGGCGTCGTCATCGTCATCATTGTCGTCGTGGCCTGGCCGTTGTCGGCGTCGTCGTCGTCGTCGTCGTCGTCGTCGTGGCCTCGTCGTCGTTGTCGTCGTTTTTTGTTTGAGTTCTCATTTCTAAACACAAGTTCTGGTTCATCTCCCCTCCCCGGTAACAGGTTCGTTTTTCAAGTTAAGTGCCCCTTCCGGGGCTCGCACCTTGTTTTTCAAGGCAAAGTTTTACATGCCAGATTGCCCCCCTGGCCCCCGAACTACAGCAACAACGGCTCCCGCCAAATATTTCTTACAATTTATTGCGAAGGACTTACGGCCGGTGCCGCCGACCCTGAGAACGACGAAGATGAAAACGAGGGGGGAGGCAGGGGGAGGAGGATGAGTGGGAGGTGGAGGAATGGTGGAGGAGGTGGATGAGGGAGGAGGAGGGGGGAGAAGGATGTGCAGGAGAAGCAAGCGGAGGAGAAGGAGGCAGAGGAGAGCAGGAAGAGGGGGAGCAGAGGTGGGGGGGGGAGGAGGAGGAGGAGGAGGAGGAGGAGGAGGAGGAGGAGGAGGAGGAGGAGGAGGAGGAGGAGGAGGAGGAGGAGGAGGAGGAGGCCAGAGGCTTTCTTGGGACAGCCTGGGGCTCCCTTGAGGCCGTCTTGGGCCGTCCAGGGCTCCTCTTGCGCCGTCTCGAGGCACTCTTGGAGGCCTCCTGGGCAATTTGGGGCTCTCTTGGGCTGTCTTGCGGCAGATTGGGGGCCCCTTGGGAGCCTCTTGGGGCCTCTTGGGGCTTCTTCGGGGCCTCTTGGGGGCCTCTTGGGGCTGACGGCTCGAAATGTCTGTTCGGGTCCCCCGTCTGGGCACTCTCCTGGAGCCGTCTGGGTGGCCTCTTGGGCCGTCTTGGAGGCGTCTTGGGCCGTCTTGGGGCCCTATTCGGCCGTTAAGGGACCCTCTGAGAGGCCTCTTGGACCGTCTCGGAGCGATCTTGGGGGCCTCTTGGGCCGTCTTGGCGCGTCGGGAAGCGGAAGAGGCAAGAACGCCCAAATCTTCAAATAGCGTATGGGAAATCCATGAATTTTGCCTCTTGGGGCTCTCGTGGGAAAGCTCCTGGAGGCCTCTTGGGGCGCTTTGCAGGCCTCTTGGGCCGTCTGGAGGCCGTCAAGGCGTCTTGGACAGATCGTTCGGCGATTCGGGGTTCTCTTGGACTGTCTTTGGGGCCTCTTGGGGCATTCTTGGCCCGTGTTGGGGCTTTTTTGGGCTCCGGGACTTTCAGGGGGGGCGTCTGACCCCCCCCTGGGGACCCCCCCCCCCGGCGGGGGAGGGATCGAAGGGAAGGGGCTTCCCTTCGACTCAATTACGACGTTGCTCAACTTTGCTTTGGCTGGCGCGCTGAGGAGGTCCCTGGGAAAGGGGGGAGCTTCGACGAGCCCAGGGAAAGGGGGGAGGCAGGGAAAAGGGACGACAGACGACGACCAACGAATGACGGAGATGACGAATTGAACGGACAAGCCCCTCACACACGCCGACAGGGTCGGCGGATTCAAAAATCGCGTTCTCGCGGGGGACCGCCTCAGTATTTACCCAGGAATCGTGTTCCCGCGTTGTCATTCTCCGCACTTTATCTAACAGCCGCGCTCTCCACACTCAGGAACCACGCTCGTGTTCTGGACTCCCTTACGATTTACTTGGGAATCGCGCTTCTCGATTCATGCAGGGCTAACGCTTCCAGCGACCCGCCCACTCGACCCGGCCGTCTGGGCCCGCCCACCTGACCCGAACGTTACGGTCCGCCCAGCCGAGCCGCCAGTCTGGTGCCGCTGCCTGTTTTCCTGCTTCTGACCCCCCTTCTGCTAATCTCTCTCGTGCTCCATCCTTCTCCGTCCCCCTTGTACCAGCCGATGGGGCTCCTGGAGCTGAACCTGGTTCCTTGTTGAAGGTGCTGGTCCGTGACAACCGGCTGGGCGACGCGCGCGCCGCTGCAGTTGTGCAATAGTTTCACCGCGGAGGCGCTGGCCGCAGGCTTTAAGATCAGCTCGTACGACCCGTGCCTACTCTACCTGCACCAGGATGGCAAGTGCCGGGGATCCCTGGCACTGGCCGTGGACGATACCTTCGGAGGAGGAGACGAGTACTTTCAGAAGGCGATGGGGACGATCAACAAGAGGTTTCCGTTCGGCAAGTGCCTGAAGGGCAAGGGCGAATTTCTGGGGAACCAGCTGGAGCAGTTACCCTACAAGTTTAGGAATACCCCCTCGGACGTGCGACCGTTTAGGTTGCCACATGGGCGACCCCGAGGCGCTCACAGGCCCCCCTCTCCTCTCCCTGCCCCTTCCTTTTTGATTCGTGGAGCCGTTTAGTTGTGCTGGCCTGAGGGCCCGTGATGCAGGAGAGACGCTCGTCGTGGGCGATTTTTTGGGGATGCCAGCCCGTCGATTTTGGATCTCTTAGGGGGCCGTTTGTTGTCCCAGCCGCGTGGCCAATAGCGTCACATGCGTGCTGTCTTTTCTTGCCAGGTGGGGCACGATTGGTCGGCTCAGGGTTGGCTGGCTGCCAGCTGCGCCAGCCTCTAGCCCCCCCCCGGGGCCCCACGCCTGGGGGCGGGGGACCGCCCTTTTCCTCTCTCCCCCTTCCTTCCGTCCTCTCCACAATTACTCAATACGAATAATACTCTCCCTCTTCCCTCTTCCCCCGCCCCCCCCGCGTATTGTTTTTTTTTACACACAGGTTTCCCCGGAGTTGGGTTTTCGCATTTTTTTTTGTTAAAAAAACAATGCTGCTCTCGCTGAGGCGCCGGCCTCATTTTCGGGCCCCGCTCGTTCCGAATCGTGCTCCCGCTGCAGCGCTGGCCTCATTTCCGTGCTTCCGCTCGTTCTGAATCGTGTTCCCGCTGCAGCGCTGGCCTCATTTCCGCGCTTTCGCTCGTTTCGACTCGTGCTCCCGCTGCAGCTCTGGCGTCATTTCCCGTGCCATGCCACGGCATGCAATGCAATGCTAGGTTGATACTGCGCTTTGCGGTGCTCTTCTACGCCATGCCATGCCGTGTTCTACAATGCATCGCGTCCCCTTTTTGGATCATTGCCCTGCTCGACATCCGACTGTGCGAGTAGAGAGGGGATCTGCGCCATGGTAAGGGATGGGAGGGAGGGGTAGGACGTCAGATATGACGCGAGCGCACCTAGCTTGTCTTCCTGCCCCTCCCTCTCTCCCCTCCTCTTCCTGGCCTCCTTCCTCCTCTCCCCCTCCCTCGTCGTCGTCGTCGTCGTTGTCGTGGTCTTTGTCGTCGTCGTCGTCGTCGTCGTCGTCGTCGTCGTCGTCGTCGTCGTCGTCGTCGTCGTCGTGGGGGGCGGTCCTCTGTCTTCCTCGGGCTTGCGGCCCCCCGCGTGGGGGGGCTTCCGAGGCAGCAGCATCTGACTTTCACACTCCCAGCCGAAAGTGTCTGGGAGCTGCTGGCATTCGGATGCGTGTCGCACGCTCGGATGCGCGTCTCACGACAAATCGGAGCGCTCCACATGAGCGCGCAGTGACCCCCATTATTTCTTGTCCTCCGTCTCCTCCTCCTCCTTTTCCTCCCCCCGCAAGCCCGTTCTCCGGGCAGTAATTGGCGCCTGCGCCGGTGCAGGTGGAGGTGGCTGGTGATGGGCAGCCCGGTCTCGCCCACCGCTCCCTGGCCAGGGAGTCGCCACGAGCCCGCACTGTTTTGTGTAGTAACAACGTGGGCATTTCCATATGCGGTGGGGCCGCATTCAGATGCCAGGGAACTGCATTTTCTCCATGGCATTTCGCCGGCTTGGCTTGGTGCTCCTTTTGCGCAGCCTCCTTGCCTTCCCTCTTCTCGGCGTCGTCGCTCTTCCTCCTCCCTGACCTGCTTGCAATTCGAGCTCGATGGGTTTTCAATGTTGGATGGAGATGCGAGCTGTCTCCATGCTCCAAGGTTCATTGTTTTTGCCGCTGGCGCGAATTCGCTGGGACGTCGTTCCCCTTCCTCCTCCTCCTCCTCCTCCTCCTCCTCCTCCTCCTCCTCCTCCTCCTCCTCCTCCTCCTCCTCCCCGCTCCAATGCACCGATTCCGAATCATTTGCATCTGCTTCGCTGCCCCAGTCCAGGGTTTTTGCTACGGGCCTGGCGGCTAGCGCGTCGTTGCGTGTACTCGACAGCCAGCAGCCCGACTCTGGAGACAGTGTGTTGAGGACGTTGGTTGGTGCCTCGCGAAAAAGACATACTACCTGACAGGTCATTCAATATTTACCAGAAGAACATGGTGGAGGAGATCGAGCTGATCAACATACCTGCAGGGCGACGCGCGATGATATATGTGCGACGAGAAAGAGATTTCGCGCTGAGGGCCGTGGCAGGCTCACTCAATTACATCGGTCGGGAGACACGCCTGGACTGGAGCGGTCTCGTGTCGCTGCTGTAGAGCGCGTTTCCGAAGCCGAAGGTGTCAGACCTGCTGGAAGGGAACCGCCTGGCGAGGATCGGCAAGGACATCTCCCACGCGAGCCTCTGGATCAGGCCGATCGAACTGAAGAACATGGTCTTCTACGACGTGGCCGACGCCGCGTGGGCGAACGCGAAGCTTCGGGCGAGCCAGGCGGGCTGGATCCTCATGGCCGGGGACTTGCGGATCTGCGACGGGCTGTGGAGGCAGACCTCCCCGCTGGCTTGGCGGTCGCGCCGCCTCGCCCGGAAGGTGCCGGGTTCCTTGGCGGCCGAGACGCTGGGCGTGGATGAGGGATTGGCGAACGGCATCTACCTGAGGAGCTTGTTCGCGCAGTTGGCGTTCCCTGGGTTGGACGCCCGGACGGCGCCCGAGGCAGGGCGGACTTTCCCACTCTCGGTCGTGACCGACAGCAAGTGCCCATACGACCACCTCCGCCATGTCTCAGCAGGACCCAGCAAAGACCGAAGGACGGCGCTGGACATCGCGATCCCCACGGAGAGCATGAAGGAGAGTGGAGCTGGGATCCGTTGGGTGGACGGCAAGCGCCACCAGATCACGGACCCTCTGACGAAGAGTCACGGTTGCGCGGATTTGCTGAGGGGGATCTAGCAGAATTGCGAGTTCGTCATCGTCGTGGAGGATAGGGCGCTCAAGATACGTGAAGCGGAGAGGGCGTCCCGAGTCACCGGGAGAGGAGCGCTCGGAAGGCCGACGCCGGCAAAGACATGAGTCCCGAGGGCTACGACGAGCTAATCCCCTACTAAGCCGAGCCCGACTTTACCATCCAGCGCTGCGCGCTCATTTGGATTCTTGGCATCGCTGCGCTGTGCCTTGCCGTATCAACGCGCTGCGCGCGAGGCTCTGTTTCAACTTCCTTGTCCGAACCGCTTTCAGGTGGCGGAGAGGAGCTGACTACAGGTGTCCTGTCATCTAGAATTCTGGGGTGTGCGACTTGCCCCGGAGTCTTTCTAGAGGTCACCTGGAGATACCAGACACTCAGCCCCCTCCGTAACCATGTGCTAGTTCGAGCAGGGGCTTCGGCCCCTTTGGAGGCAGACGCGCGTGTGCTTGAGCTGATACCGGAAACGAGGTTTCGAGCTAGCTGGCGCTTCGTCCCGCATTTCCACCGTGTCTGGTCTTACAATATATTCAGGAATCGTTTTCTCGTCGTTCTCGCTGGAGATTTGCTTGCGATTTATTCAAAAATCGCGATCTTGCGTTGGAATTCCTAGCAACTTACGCAAGCGCCGCGCTCCCGACACTCAGGCACCCAGGAGTCGTGCTCACGCTTGGGACTCCCTCGCAGGTTACTTAGGGATCGGGATCTCGCTGCCTGTCGGGGCTCCGTGGCAGCCCCTCGTGGCCCCCCCCCTGTGCCCTTCGTGGCCCTGTTGCAGCCCTTCGTGGCCCACTCGCTGCCCTTCGTGGACCCGTTGCAGCCCTTCGTGGCCCATTCGTTGCCCTTCGTGGGCCCGTTGCAGCCCTTCGTGGCCACGTCGCTGCCTTTTGTGGCCCCGTTGCAGCCGTTCGTGGCCCCTTCGCTGCCTTACGTGGGTCAGTTGCAGCCCTTCGTGGCCCCGTCGTTTCCCTTCATAGCCCCGTTGCAGCCCTTCGTGGCCGCCCCCTCGCTGCCAGTCGTGGCCACGTTGCAGCCCTTCGTGGCCCCTTCACTGCCCTTTGGCCCCGTTGCAGCCCTTCGCGGCCCCCTCGCTGCCCTTCGTGGCCCCCGCTCGTTCGCTCCCTTCGTGGCCCCCCCACTGCCCTTCGTGGCCCCGCTGTCGCCCTTCGTGGCGTGGCCCTGTCGTTGCCCTTCGTAGCCCCGTTGCTGCCTTCAGTGGCCCCGTTCTTGCCGTGTGCGGCCCGATATACGCATGCCCTTCGTGGCCCCCGCTCGTTCGCGCCCGTCGTGGGCCCATACGCATGCCCTTCGTGGCCCCATTGTCGCCCTTTGTGACCCCCTCGTTGTCCTACGTGGCCCCATTGCTACCCTCAGTGGCTCCGCCGTTGCCCACTGTAGCCACGCATTATCTGCCCTTCGTGGCCCCCGCTCGTTCGCGCCTTTCGTGGCCCCGTACGCATGCCCGTCGTGACCCCTCAATCGCCCTTCGTGGCCCCCTTCCTGTCCTACGTGGCCCCGCTGTCGCTCTCGCTCTCGCTTTCGCTTTCGCTTTCGCTATTCGTCGTCGTCGTCGTCGTCGTCGTCGTCGCCGTCTTAGTCGTCGTCGTCTTAGTCGTCTTAGTCGTCGTCGTCGTCGTCGTCGTCGTCGTCGTCGTCGTCGTCGTGGTCGGTCCCCTGTCCGTCCCTCTTGGGGTCGGGCTGCCGCCGATCAGCGCTTCCAGTGGCCAGGCCGACGGTCCGCGGCCGCCCCGCCGCTTGCCAGGGCCCGGCTCGCAGGGACGAAAAATATACACCCCAAGGGCGGGTATCGAGGGTTGGGGAAATGTACGTGAATGACATTCGAGCAGATAAGAGCGATCAGTCTTAAACTGATTGTTGTTGGTGTTGTTGAGTTCGCATTCCAAAAGGCAAATTATTGTTGATCCCCCTGCCGGGTAACCATTGTTTGTTCAAGTCAAGTGCTTCTCTGGGTTCGCACCCTGTTTTTTTTTTACAAAGAAATCGAAGTGCCACCAAACTGGGTTGATGGCTCCCAGTTTGCAGCAACAGCGGCTCCCGCTTGACACTTCTTCACAATATATTCTTACATTCGCGTCCTCGCGCGGGACTTCCTCACGCAGTATTCAGGAATCGCGCTCTCGCGTGGGACTGCTTCGCAATTGCACGTTGCAGGTAAGAGAGATATGTTTCTAAGGGGGCTACGATCGAAGGCGAAGAGTGCGGGTAACGAGGGTTCGGGATATACGTGCTGAGTGGCCCGCGAGCCGATCAGAAACAACAGTCTTAACATGATTATTGTAGTTGTCGTTGTTGTGCTGTGTGCTGCTGTTGTTGAATGCTCATTTTGAGAACATAATTATTGTTGATCCCTTTGCTGCGGTTGCCATCCTGTTTTTCAATTGAAGTGCTCCTCTCTGGGGTCGCACCGTGTTTTATGCAAGGGGAAGTATGGGGTCCCCAAACTGCGCCCCTGGCGCCAACACCAATAACAACGGCTCCCGCCTGACACTTCCTCACATTTTATTGAGACATCGCAGTGTCATGCGGGCCTTCCTCACAATTGGCCAAATCGCTCCCCAGCAACAACACCACCAACAACAACGACAATATTTACGCACAAAAGCAGCAGCAACAACACAAAGAGCAAAAACACCAACAAGACCAACACCATCACCGACAACAACAACAACAATCATTATAATATTGTTTGCTTTGTCTGCCCGCGTGTCATTTCAATACGTATATCCCAAACCCTCGATAACCGCCCTCTTCGTTTTCGACCGTGCCCCCTTATCAGGGGTATATCTTTCTTACCCCACATGTATTTCGTGCAACCCCTATGAGGCAGCGAGGTAGGGGACGGATGGAAGGAAAAGACAATGGGTGAGGGAGGAGGATGGAGCACGAGAGAGAGAGTACCCGGATGGGGCTAGGACCAGAAAGCACGTGACAAAACTTGACGGGCTGATCGGGAGCGTAGACCTTAATAGGCGGGTCGGGAGGGCGGGATCAGGCGACCAGGTTGAGCAGGCGGGTTGCTGAAGCGTGCTTCCTGCATGAATCGCGAGGAAATCTCGAGCGATAGTGCGATCCCCAAATACATGATGAAACATGCACAGCGAGAGAGTGGTTCCTGAGTGTATAGGGCGCGGCGTTTGAAATCAATTGCGAGGAAGTCCCATGCGAAAGCGCGATTGCTGCATACATTGCGAGGAACCCCCGCGCGAGAGTGCGATTTGGGAATGTACTGCGAGGAAGTATCACGCGGGAGCCGTTGTTGTTGTTGTTGTAGTTCGGGGGCCCGGGGCGCAGTTAGTTGACACTTCGCTTCCCCTTGAAACGACCAGGGTGCGAGCCCTGGAGTAACATTTTCATAGAACAATGCAGTGGGTACGGGAAAGGGGAGTCAACAACACTTGTTCTTTAGAAATGATAATTCAGCAACAATACCACCTACACCAGCAACAACAACACCACTTACAACCAGAACAACGACAATGACAACAACAACATCACCAACAGCAGCAACGCCAGCAGCACCACCACCAACAACACCAACAACACCAACAACAACGATGCGCCCGTGCGATACTTCCTACGAATTTACTCTGAGAGGCCCTGGCCAGAGGGCCAAAACTTCAGGAAACCCGTTCAGAACGGTTTTGTCGCTACTTGCGGATGCTGGAACGGCCGTTTTGCTTGAATTTCTTTTGCAATTTAAAACTGCAAGGGGGTGCTTCAAAACCAGGCTGCTGCTACTTGCGGATGCCGGAACGGCCTTTTCGCTTGAGACTTCCTCGCGATTCAGCACCGCAGGAGGTTCTTCAGAGTATTCCTGTTACTACTCGCGGATGCCGGAACGGCCGTTTCGCCTGAGATTTTGTTGCAATTCAGCAGCGCAGGGGAATCCGTCAGAGTAGTCTTGCTGCAGGAGACCCAGGACGCATCAGAGATATGCGTTCGGGGTTTTCCCGCCCCGAGGAGTCCCCAGGAGGCATTTGCCTATGTATTAGGACGTGTGTTCGGGGGGCGCCTTTCGGGCCTCCGCTCCGAGGAGGCACCAGGATACGTTTTTCCTGCATTGCGACATTGTTCGGGGAGCGATTTTCGGCTTCCTGCTTCCAGGAGGGCCCAAGTCGGGGGTGGATAGGACCTCCTACCCTGACACGTCGATTGAGGAATTGGCCGTTTTCGGTTCGCGAGAGGGCGTCGCGTGCGTCATTTTTGCGGATCCAGGTCCGTCGGTTTCGGTCCCAGGCCGTTTTCATTAAGGGGAGGTTTACTAAAGGGAGGTTTGTCCACCGCCGACCAAGAAGCCCAAGGAGGCTTTTCTTGTATTGGGATCTGTGTTCTGGGAGTGTTTCTCGGCCCCCGTAGAGTTCGCCCCCATCGGCTCAGCCTCCACAGACTTCGCCGCCCCTCTCCTGGGGCTCGAATCCTCGGTGGCTTACGTGTGTACGATCGATTGCCCTTCTCCTGGGGCTCGAAAATGTTCTGTTCTATTTATGCTCTTCTAGATTTCCCCTCGACCGATGCCCGAATCCTTAGTGTTTTACGTCTGTCCCTACATATTGCCCCTCTCGTGTGGCTCGAAACCTTAGCGTTTTACATCTGTTCCTATGTACTGCCCCTCCCATGGGGCTCGAATCTCTTGTGTTTCGAATCCGCTCCCCAAGGTACACTGTTTCCCGGACAGGGCTCGGGCCCAGGGTTTTCTTTTAATGTGTTTACCCCTGGTTCTGACGGCTGTAGGGCCGGCGAAATTATTTGGCGATGAATAACGAGGTCGCGTAGGGAGGGCGAAATTATTGTTGAGGTGACTTCAGAGGATCTCTCAAGTGAAATGCTTGTTTTCACGTGCACAGGTCTTGAGGATGTCTCGAACGAGACGCTCGGTTTCACGCCTCCAGGTTGCCCAGACAGATGTCTAGCATGAGGATTTGTTGAGGATGTCTCGAACCAGAGGCTTGTTTTCACGTGTCCAGGTCGCCCAGGCGGATGTCTAGCATGTGGATGTGTCGAGAAAGTCTCGATCGAGACGCTTGTTTGCACGTGTCCAGGTTGCCCAGGCGGATGTCTAGCATGAGGATGTGCTGAGAACGTCTTGAGCGAAACGCGTGTTTTTACGTGTCCAGGTCGCCCAGGCACAGCGCAGCCCTCGGCACGGTACATCAATATCGATACCTTTAGCATTGCAGCCTGGCATGTTGCCTGGCACGTTCCGCGGAGCGTCCCGTGGCGAGTCCCCCTGGCACGTTGCGCGGTGCACGTCCATTGGCACGTTCCGTAGCGCTTCCCCTTGGCACGTCCCGCGGTGCGTGCCCATGGCACGTCCCCTGGCACGTCGCCTGGCCCGTCCCTTGGGACGTTCCGCGGCGCGTCCTCCTGGCATGTCCCCTCTGTCGATTAGTTCTGGGGCAGCTACCATCTGCTCAGGCAGCTTGAGCTCAAGATCCAGATCAGTTCGGTCAGGACTCGGATGTAAAGAGGGCTCGATCCACAACGCTATATAGAGCACAATCGCGGAATGGCACATCGCTGTTCAGCACGGCCCAGCACAGCACAGCCGTCGTCACGGTACATCAAGATCGATACATTCAGCATTGCACCTTGGCACGTTCTTTGGCGCGTTCTTTGGCGAGTCCACCTGGCACGTCGCGCGGCGCGTCCCCTGGCACGTCCCGCGGCACGTCCATTGGCACGTTCTGCAGCGCTTCCCCTTGGCACGTCCCGCGGTGCGTGCCCATGGCACGTCCCCTGGCACGTCGCCTGGCGCGTCCCTGGGACGTTCCGCGGCGCGTCCTCCTGGCATGTCCCCTCTGTCGATTAGTTCTGGGGCAGCTACCACCTGCTCAGGCAGCTTGAGCTTAAGATCCAGATCAGTTCGGTCAGGACTCGGATGCAAAGAGGATTCGATCCACAGCGCTATATAGAGCACAATCGCGGCATGGCACATCGCAGTTCGGCACGGCGTAGCACAGCACAGCCCTCGGCACAGTACATCAAGATCGATACATTCAGCATTGCATTTGCCCGTCGCCCAAACAGGTGTCTTTGAAATGTTGCCATGCCTTACATTTCTATATTCCTTTCCGGGTTCGTGGGTCGATCATGTTTTGGTGTGTCGGGAGAGGTGTTGGCTCGACCTGTGGCATCATGATGGATGCACGTGGCATGTAGAGGCATGGCGCATGAAGGTCAAATGGTAGTCTTCGTCGTCTTCGTCGTCGTCGTCGTCGTCGTCGCGTCGTCGTCGTCGTCGTCGTCGTCGCGTCGTCGTCGTCGTCGTCGTCGTCGTCGTCGTATGTCGTCGCCGCCGCCGCCGCCGTCGTCGTCGTCGTCATCGTCGTCGTCGTCGTCGTCGTCACCGCCGCCGTCGTCCTCGTCGTCGTCGTAGGTCGTTATGGTCGTCGTCGTCGTCGTCGTCGTCGTCGTCGTCGTCGTCGTCGTCGTCGTCGTCGTTGTCGTCTTGGTAGCCGAAGCGAGGTGGGTGGGATCAGTCGAGGCGGAGTGCTGTGCCGACCCTTTCTCCCCATATCCTTTCTTCTTCGGTCAGGCCGTGAGGACGCAGCGCCGGCAGCAGCTCGAGGCAGGGCGGCTGTGGGAAGGGCTCGAATTTCGGAGGCGGAAAAGGTACCGCTACCGCTGCCCTTCCCTCGTTTTCCTCATTTTGAGCCTCCTGGGAGGCCCTCGTCGCTACCGCTGGATATGCCTCGAAGTTCTGGTCTGGACGCACCCTGGGAGAGGGTCGGGGAGTAGCGGTATCGGTATCTTGCGGTTTCTTCGGGCTGGGCTAGGACGAGGATAAATCCGTTCCAGAGCGTTCCGGAACGCTCTCAGAGCGTTCTGGAACGCTTTGAGAAGGCCGCGGAGCCCGAGACATATTCCAGAACCGCCGGATCTCAGAGATTCTCCTTTCATCCTCCCCCGATGTTATCCCCGTCCTGGCTTCGTTGCATGTCCCCAGAGATGTCAACTCGGGCTCTCTGCCCGAGGTTCCCCTCTTGGGGGCGTCGGCGTCTTGGGGGGCCCTCTCTGGGGCCGCCCTGGAGACCTCCTGCCGGCCTGGGCGCTCCCGAGATCCCCCGCGCCGAGCGTGCTCGAGCCGTGCAGCGCCCATGCCGTTTTCGGTGTTTTTGGCCTGCTCGAGGCGGGGCCCCCGGAGCTTCAGGCCGGCCCGAGAGGCGCCACAGGGGGCTCCAGGACGGGCGCCGAGACCACACATAGCCATGCTGGAAGTGTGCCATCCCATCCTCCTCCCTCCTCTTCCTCCTCCTCCTCCTCCTCCTCCTCCTCCGCCAGGGTCCTCTTCGATCCCATCGATCCGATGCGATATCGGTCTGGGCGGGGTCGAGCCGATTCGGTTCCGATGTTCCGAGGGTCCGATGCGGGCCGGTGCTTGCACGGCGTTGTGGTGCATTTTGGCGGAGCTCATCCGATCCGATTCGATTCCAGTTCCGTGGCGATGCGGACCGATTCGGTGCACGTTCCGATCCGATCCGATTTCCCCATTCGTTCCGAGGCGTCTGAGTTCTTCCTTCGCCCTCCTTCCCCCTTCCCCGTCCTCCTCCTCCCTCCTGCTTCCTCCCTCCTTGCTTCCTTATTCCTCGCTCCAGGTTTAACTAGATGTCCCTGCGGATTACTAGAACAAAGTTTGCAAGGACCTCGGCCCCAAAGAGAAAGAGTCACCCTAGTGCATGGCACTTTCTGTGTGCCTTAGCCATGAAGCGCAGCGGCTGTGCTCCAAAATATCCTTCCTCCTTCCCTCCTCCGCTCCTCCTTCCCTCGCCCGCGGGGAGGCTTGGCTCAGCTCCGCCGGACCCTTTGGCAATGTGCGCGACGAAGGACAAGGGGTTCGCTTTACGACATTGGCTCGTAAGCTGCACGCGTATGATCGCCCGTCAGGTCCCTCGTTTCCGATGTAGCGTACCGCGCTGGCGGCCCGCGCAAGCCACCACGTAAGGTCGCTGCGTCGTCTCGCGCAAGACCCGTTTCTTTTCGCCGCCAATGTGGAGCTCGGGGGGGGGGGCGTTCGCCATCGGTGCCCGTGCCCAGCGCCTCCAGCACTCCAGCACTCCCTGATGGGTCTGTTTTCCACCCCCACCACCATAAGTTGGAGGGGGGAAGGAGGTGGAGGATGAGGAGGAGGAAGAAGACTGGGGGGGAGGAGGACCCCCTCCCCCCTCCAACTTATGGTGGTGGTGGTGGAAAACAGGCCCATCACTCCCTCCCCCCCGCCGCCCCCCCCTGCGGGCCCTCGAGGAGGACGGGGACGCAGACGGGGGCGCGGGCGCCTGCGCGGACGCGCGGCCCTCCCCTCGGGAGCAGCCGGCAGCGCCCGAGGCCTGGCCGGTGGAGGGAACCCAGGAGGGGGGAGGAGGGGGAGGAGGAGGAGGAGGGAGGAGGAGGAGAGAGGAGGAGGAGGAGGAGGAGGGAGGAGGAGGAGGAGGAGGAGGTGGAGGGGAGGAGGAGGAGGAGGAGGAGGAGGAGGAGGAGGAGGAGGAGGGGATGGGTCAGGGGCAACGATTGGGGGGGATAGGCGCAGGGGGGGCAGTGCAGCGGTTCCCTCTCGCCCTATCGCCGCCGATGGATTTAGGGGCCCGATGTTCCAGCCCGACCAGGAGCGTGCGGATCTGCTATCGTTGGCCGCTTCGCCGATCTCATGGCGATGTGTCGCCGATTCCAGCTCGATGGTTCCCTACTCGAGCCGCCCCTCCCCCCCTGACGTTGTCCCTCAAGGGGAGAGGGGGCACGAGGGGGCCGGATGGGGGCAGGGAGGTGCGCCCGCGCTACTTCTGTCATCCTTCCTACGGTGCTGAAGCTAGTTCGGTCCGCCGACAGGGTCGGCCTGGAGGACCTGGATCTCCAAATGGAATCTGGAGGATCTGACCCAGATGTGAGGCTCGTGGGCGCAGCGGTGGGCCTGAAAAAGCTGAGCCAGGCCCATGCGGGCTCGCTTAGTGGGGCTTTTGGGGGATGGGGGTACGGCTGGACAGGCGAATCTGTCCGATGACCGCGTGATCGTGGAGTGTGACAAGGTATCCATGGCGTGCCCTGGCAATCGGGAGCGTTGCTAGATGCCCATTGGTAAGTTCAGCGCATTTGGCTGGCTTAGCTTCGTACGGACTTGAGCTGGACTGCGGAGTTTTCTGCTCGATAAGAACTTGTCTAAAATCGGGGGGCGCTGGGAGATGTGGTCTGTTGTGCAGGGGGGGCAATCTTTCTCAACCATCCTGTGTTGTTGGGTCCTCGTTTTGAAGAGACGGTCTCCGCGTTCACTGCTGCTCCTCCTCCTCCTCCTCCTCCTCCTCCGCTGCCCCCTCCTCTTCCTCTCGTCATCATCATCATCATCATCATCATCATCATCATCATCATCATCATCATCATCATCATCATCATCATCATCATCATTGTCGTCGTCGTCGTCATCATCATCACCACCACCATCATCATCATCATCATCATCATCATCATCATCATCATCATCATCATCATCATCATCATCATCATCATCATCATCATCATCATCTGTAGCCATTTTGGCTCAAGCATGAAACGTGCGGCCTGGCGCTTCGTGCTTGGTCGCTGCCGAGGGCCCGGCTCGAGGATATTTTCGCCTCAGGTGGCTCTGATAATTATCCTGTGTGCGATCCCCCCCCGCCCAGTGCTGTTTCGATCCCCAGATCTCAGCATGGCGAGCGCTGCAGAGATCCAGAAGATGCTGCAATATCACATTGCAGCCACTATCGAAGCTACATCGAGAATGCTAGACGATCGGCTGGACATCCAGGGTCAGACCCTGAAGGAGATGACCGCTCGTATCGATAAGAATCCAGGAGTTTCAAAGGATGACAGACGCGAGGATGGATGCCTATGAGCACGCTCATCAGCTTGATATGTCTCGGAGCCCTTTGTCACATGTGGTATAATCGGGCAAGCGTCATGCAGTGGATGGTGGGTCGGTGGGAGACGGATCGACATCGGCAGGAGGTGGAGGAGGAGGTGCATCGGTTACCAGTCTCGAGGATGCGCATAGGTTGCTCATCTTGGATTCCGGGACCGTCTCATGGCATCGACTCTCGAGCGCGTTGGCAAAGATATTGTCTCGAAGTGTGCGACCACGGAAGCTGCTCGTCTCCTTCGGGTGCGTGCGTATGATCTGCAGAAGAAGGTCACCCTTGACTTCCCGCCCCCTGCAATGGCATCTGATTTCTCGGATGACTTCAGGAAGTTGAGTGAGGAACGCTCGTTCCCCAACCCCCGTGCCCCTGAGGAATTATGGTCGCTTTGTGTTCGTCGGGATCTTTCTCCACAGCATCGGCTTCTCTTCTTTAAGATGGGGGAAGTGCGTGCGGCAGTCCAGGGAGAGCTGAGTAAGAAAGGCCTTGAGGCGAATTCGAATGGGATCGGAAGCCACGTTTTTGCGATTCGGTCGTTAGAGGGCCCGGTTCCGCTGTTTCATGTTTACTGCTGCCCTCAGAAGCAGGACGTAATTCATATTAAAGCCGACGAAGTTGGGTTGAGGACCCTGGGCCCTGACACTGTGCCGCTGAGGAAGAAATTCCAGGATGCGTTCGAGACTGCACCAACGCGTCCCTTTTGATTTCGAGCCCAACTGGCCCGATCGAAATCAAGTTTTGTGTAGATCTTCAAGTTCAGTTTTGCCTTTGGGTTCTTCAGCTGCGCAGAGCCAGCATGAGGCCATCACTTTCGAGCGGGAGATTGTGTTTAATCTCTCCTCCAGTTCGAGCTCGGGGTCTGGCTCGTCCTTTGATTCGTCTGGTTCTGACTCATGCAGCAGCGACGGCTCGGGGTCGCCGTCTGATGTGTCTCTGCCCTTTGCCCCACCTCCTTCCTGCTCTCTCGCTGTTCTCACCTGGAGTACTAGTGGGCTCTTCGCTTCCATCGCCGCTTCCACTCTCCGTGCCTCTCGTCGGTGCAAGAAGTTACTAGCCTACTCCCGTCGTGCAAGCTTACTATGCATTCAAGAAGCTCACAGAACTGCTGGCGCTGCGAAAGCGAGTCAGATGGATTTGCGGAATTGGACTGTGGGCTTCTCGGGGCACACGTCGCACATTGCTGGTGGTTCTCTTACTGCTGTCTCTCCATCCGTTTGCTCTCTCTTCACGGGCATTAGGTGCTGCGAGGTCGAAGATGGTCGCATCCTTCTTACCACATGTGCGGGCAGATTTGGTTCCATCTGAGTCCTCGATGTACATCTCCCTACTTCGGGAGGGCCCACCTGGGCTTTCAATCGCGCTCTTGGGCGGATCCAGGATTGTCTGCGTGGCGCCGGGAATGCTGTGATTTTGATTGGGGTAGATTTCAACTTTACTTTAGAGGGGGGTGGGGGACAGTGTGGTGGCGGATCTGGGTGGCGCCTTGGGGATCGGCATCGGGGCGATTCCTCTTCTCGGTTCTTCCCGCGGTGGGCCGGAATTCACTTGCCAGATCCTGCGGGGAGGGAAATTCTGCATAATGCACTGGTCCATGTCAGCCGACTTGACCGTCTATATCTTGTCAATCCCTCTGCTGTTGTTGTTGCTCTCTCGATCTCATGCTCTGTTATAGGGCAAGCGAAATTCACTG